GAGGAACTCATGCTCATTTGCCAGGCTCCAGGTATTCAGTGGCCTCAACTTTGAAGCAGAGGCTGGTGGAGGGTGGGCATCGGAAGAAGCTGGCCTACGCTCCCTGTGTGATCATTACAGGCAGAAATAAGGGTTCTGCTGGAGGCTGGGAGAGAAGAGAAACAGGCTGACCCAGGTCTCTGGAGAGGACACTGTGCAGCTCAGCTGGGCTGGAAGAGACCGAGTTCCTCCCTTGGGAAAGGGTGGGATACAAAGATGAACCAGAGAAGGTTCTCCACGGCATCAAGGGCTCAAATTGCCCTTCTTCACTCTTTGGTGCCAGGGGAAACAGCAAGCTTTACTTGAGTTCAGGGACATCTGCATGGGAAGAATAACATCCTGAGCCACGAGGGCAGAGAAAGATTCCCAGCAAGTTAACTCCACACCAGCAGCCCCTGCCCATCAGTCCAAGACCCAGCGAGGCCAAAGTTGAGGTTTTCTGAGGACCTCTAGTCTTTCCTTTTGGAGGTATCCAAACTGCTCCTCTTGAGCAGGGGTGGCTGCACTGCATCAGCCACAGGCTCCTTCTCTCAGGCCCTCTAGGACCACTGCTTTGGGGGATAGAGGATTAGGGGAGTTATTGGAAGCTGGGGACCAGTTTCTTTTAGACTAGGCTAACTGATTCTTTCCAGGATTAAGCCTTCAGTACAGGTCTAAGAGCATCACATTCTAAACCCTGAGCCAGTCAACCCTGACTCAGAGAGGGGCATGAGAGATGGCCACTTACTGAGTGTCTCTTGAACGCCAGGTGCTGCCCCAGACACGGCTCCTCCAGCACCATTCCTTAGGACTCTCACAATGACGTTGGAAGGCAGCGGTTATGACCATCAGTTCCTGAGCTAATCCAGGAACTGAGGTCACCCTTAGACTCCACAGTGGGCCTTGGGGACCACTTTAGGATGATAGAGAGACACTTTTTCCATGGTAAGTGAAACTGTCTAAATCAGATCCAGCCCCGAGTGGGGAGGGGAAGCCCTGGGAGGCTACTGGGAGAGCAGAGGAGATGAAGGGGAGGGGAGAGGAGAACCAGGGTCCTCTATCAGCCCTGCCCTCTGGCTCTAGGACACTAGGGTCAGCTCTCATTTGGAGCCAAGGCTCTAAAAAGCTGGCAAGGAGTGAGCCCAGGCCCGTGGGTGTCTGGGGATAGGTGGTTTGTGGCCCTTGTCACCTCACACCCTCTGAGAGAGCTTCTCTGCTCTGGGGCTGACAGGACCCCAGTAGGGCAGAGTCCACTCGCAGAGCCCCGCCCTCCCCCCACCCCTGACTGGCCAGTCCCACTGAGGCAGGCCACCCTCTGGTCATGTCATGCTCCCCGAGTCTGGGTGTAGCCGCTAAACGGGGCTGTGGTGATGTGAGGGTTTTGCTTTCGTCTGGCCCACTTTGCAGTTCCCATGGCTCTGTTTGTGCTGGATGCTGAGTCACGCGGTGGCAGCCAGCCCCAGGATCCCAGGGCTCATCTCAGGCCATCCAGAGCGTCTCCCCACCACAGAGACAGCAGTTCTCCACTTTGAAAGTGCAGAAGATGAAACACTCCAAAAAATCAGACTCCTGGGACCGTGGTCCCAAGGGGTCAGATTCTATGGGTTGTGGGGGGAGAGGCAGGGAATCCGGCCAGCTCTCCAGGAGATTCTGAAAGACTTGGTGCGCAGAAGACTCTGCAAAGCCTCCTGTTCCAGAAGAACCAACCCATTGACCCAGGTTCAGCTTCCCGAATTCTGAGGCAGATGTCTGCCTTCATTCAAAGACCCTTGGATGCTTTGTAAAAATGTTGTTTGGCATTTGGAGAGTTTAAATAACAGTGTTCTCTCCCCCACCCCCACATCCCCCTGATTCACATAATACAGCTCCATTTTACGGGGTAAACACACTCAGGTGAGTGTGCCAAGGCACAGCTGGTGGGAAGAGCACCTGGGAGGCCTGATAAGCGCATCCCCTCCCCTGCAAGTGGAGCCGCCCTGTGCATTGCAGGCTGCCTGTGGAGGCCAGGGCTTCTATTTCTGCTCAGGGATGTTGGAAAGGAGCAAAGGAAACGCTGACAGCTGCACCACAGCTGCACGGGAACTCAGAGACTGTGATTTTGCAATTTTCAAGATCGCCTTAAAGGCTCCTGGAGTTCCTAGGGCTTCCCACTCTCATGAGAGCTCAGTCCCCACAGGAATCCTTCTTTCCCCTCATGCCTTTTATTTATCTTGGACAGGAGAACAGAGCTTGAATTCTAAATCTAACGTGCAAGGAAATGATTTCAGAACTAGGAGTAGAAGATAAACTGGGTTTAAGGACTTTAGCCCTGAAACTGAATCTCACCCAGAATTTTCTGTGCTTCCAAAACCAAGCATATGGTGTTGTAGCCTCCCCCAACTTTCTGCGGATGCCTGCAGTGTCCACACCCCTGGTTTTCAAGAAACTCTGTTGCAACCCAAGAAAGATCTTGAGGTGGTGTTTTGGGGTCACAGGGCTCTCATCCAGTGGCAGTGGGTCATTGCCTGTCTCTGAGCTGGGAGTTCCGACACTTGTCTGCAGATGAGGCACTATGTTAAAATGCCGGGTCCCGGGTCCCCTTCCAGAGATTCCAGGATTCTGCATGCTTAACAGGAGATCTTGGAGACCCTGGGATGACCACAACTGAGTACTCCTCTTTGAGAAGTCCTGCTCTAGAACCAATACCCTCACAGCTTCCTGGGATTAAGGAGGGGGCTACAGCTGCTGGAATCCCTGAATGGTCTTCCGGAAGCTTAGTGTCACCCCAGGCCTCACCCTGCCACACAGGCACCTTGATCAGGCACAAGCCTCAAGAGAAATTCTCTTCTGAGACATTCTTGTCCTGTTGGCCAGGGAGGCGCGGAGTAGAGAGAGAACCTCCTGCTGGCAGAGAGGCCCAGAGGCCCGAGGCAAGAGTGGAGCTTTGCCACCGTCTGGTCTCCTCTGGAGTCTGCTTATGGGACTCAGCGCATAATGCTGGGCACAAACCTCTGCAGGACATGGCACCAGCTGCAGTTGAAGGTCAGGTCCGAGGACATGCAGGTGTCACAGCTCCGATGCTGCAGGCAAGCTGCAAGAGAGGAGGCAGTGGCCGCTGAGCATCGGGACCTTTCTACCAGCTTCACAGGGCACAACTCCTGAGTTTTGGAACCTTCCAGAACAATAAAGTCTCTGTCTTAGCAGGAGCTTGAGCTCACTTCAGTCCAGCCCCAACTCCCTTCCTTCCTTCTCTCCTTCCATGACCAGGGGGTTAGGTCCTGAGCTGGTGCTGGGGGCTTAACAGTAAGACCTAGTCCCTGCCTTCTTGGGGCTTACAGTCATATGAGCAGACAGACCCCAAACAGAGGCACAGACAAAAATAACTACAAGTTGGGCGCAGCAGTGCATCCTTGTAATTCCAGCAACTTGGGAGGCTGAGGCAGGAGGATCACAAGTTCAAGGCCAGCCTCAGCAACTTAGGGAGACACTGTCTCAAAATAAAAATAAATAAATAAATAAAAAGGGTTGGGGATGTGGCTCAGTGGCAAAGTGGCCCTGGGTTCAATTAACAGTACAAAAGTTTACTGGGGCTAGAAGTCCTGGATGATGGAGTCCTAGCAGTGAGCAGAAAAAGAGCAGATGCCTGCAAATGAATAGACAAGTCTACCTCAGGGCTTCTGTGGTGAGAGGGACTGAGGAAAAAGAAGTTCAGGACAGGAAGGCAGAAGGAGAGTGGCGATGGGGCTGCTCAGGGAGCCTAAGCCGGCCTTGGAGGGGAGGGCCTTTGGGCAGAGGATGAGAAGGGAGGGAGGGAGCGGGCAACTCTCTGGGGGAGGAAAAGTCCAAGCAGCAGAGCCTGGTGTGTATGGCCCAGGAGTGGTCCCAGGACAGACAGAACCCCTAACAGGCTGCTTGGAGGGGAGAGGCGGAAGTAGCAAGAAGAGAGCGGCAGCTGGGGCTGGCCCAGGGCAAAGAATGAGCAGAGCAGGCTGCTGGAGGGCACCTGGGCCCCTCCTTGCACTGCTCAGGTAGAGGAGCCAGAGGCCTGGGGAGCAGGAGGCCTGGGGAGCAGGAGTCCTGGGGAGCAGGAGTCTTGGGGAGCCCAGGCTTGGGGGCTGGACTCTAAGTTCTTCACTTGCAACTGAATGCTGCCCACTCCAGGGGGCCACACCACCTCTGAGTGGCAAATTACTGGCACAAAGCCCAGAAGAGCTGTGTGTAGTACAAGGGCTCATCTTATAAGCAGCTGACAGATCACATTGGTAGCAGCAAGTAGGGACAAACAACTACAGAAAAATGACCTCTCATTCGATAAGCACTACATGCACTTCTTCCTCTGTGAGTTTCATGGGATGATACCTCAGCCCATTAATTAGGGAGCCAATTTGCATTCCATGGAGTTCTGGCAAGATGGCAGCTGGGAGCCAGTCCTTGGTGAGTAGGAAAGAGGCTATGGTGGGCCCAGTGAATCCACCTTCAGTGGCTCTATAGGAGGGGTGGCTTTTGGTGGCACTATGTCCTTTTGTCTACCTTGGTGGGTGAAAAACCAGGAGCAGGAAATAAGCAGGGGCTGCCCCGAGGTGGGGGTGGGGCCGCGTGCTCTCTGCCTGCTTCCTTCCCTGCTGTACCCAGGGGACCTAGAGTGCCCCGCGAGTGATATGTAGAATTCATGGGGACCTGCTCTTCTTATTCCCATTTTACATAGGAAGGAACTGAGGCCTGGAGTCATGAAGCTACAAGTGGCAGGTCTGAGTCTGAGCCAGGGTCTGTGTGAACCTAGAACCAGAACTCAGCCTTTTGGTTTCTTGGTGGGTTCCGCGTGCCCCTGCTCCCAGCCTCACGCAGGGTACCTTTCCTTGACTGTCTCCTAGCAGAGGAGCCAGGAAGGACCCACCATGGAGTGCGATGGCTTTAAGATAAGCCATCCACATCCCTGGGAGTATCTGGGATAAGTGTCCTTGGCATCCAAAGCACAATGGAGAAGCTGAGGGATAAAGAGCTTTCTCCCGGCAAAGCCAGCAGGGCTCCCACATGGGCGGCCACACAGGAGTCCAAGGCCTTGCCGTTCTCAGAGACTCTGGGGGCCCCTTAAAGGCTCTGGCCACACTGGCCATGATGAAACCCTCTGGGAGCCTTGTGGGGAGTTCACCTGTTGACCTGTGTCTCTCATCTCATTTCAGATGTCCTGTATGCTATTAAATGCTCACGAAATTCACTAGAGTTGGGGGAGTGGCTCAACTAAACAGTCTCAGAAGTGCATTTCAGGCATGGTGGCACAAGCTTAAAATCCCAGGGTCTCCGGAGGCTGAGGCAGGAGGATTGTGAGTTCAAAGCCAGCCTTGGCAACTTAGTGAGACCCTAAGCAACCTGTCGAGACCCTGTCCCATACATACATATATATAAGGGCTTGGGATGTGGTTCCGTGGTTAAGCACCCAGCCCAGGTCACTGCTTCACCCAGGCACTTAGCCCTGGCCCTGTATGTCCTTATTCCTCATGAAGCTTATCCAAGTTTTAGGACTTGAAGTCTGTTCTTGCAAGTCCCTGAGGTATCCCTGTTTCTCAGGCCCTGGGCTTCTGCCTCCAAAGAAGGTGTCTGGGTTGGTGGGTGAGTCTGTGACCTGCACGGTGTCTTAGCCCTGAGACTCCCTGGTGTCTGGTCCTTTCTATTTTCCAGGGGAAGATACCCGCTGAGCCCAGGCTGAGACATGGCCTGGCATTCATGACGAACCCTTCCTCTTCCTCCTCTTCGTTCTCTATCCCCCAACTCCCAGGAAGGAGGAGGAAGAGAAAGGGAAGCAAGAAACTTCACAAAAGGCAAGCCAGCCATGGCTTCAGAAGGAAGCTGGGAGGTACCATGGGACAGGAGAGGAACTTAAACTCTCTTAAAAACACAAGAATAGAAGTGCTGTCCTATACCTTCAGTCCCTGCCTCAGTCCCCACATCCCAAAGAGCACCCAAAGCCAGTCCTGAGGCGTCCACAGTGGCAGGGGGGGCCTTGGTCATGGTGTGTGTCTTCAACTGTATGTAAGTTTTTGGAGGGCTGCTGCCTAAATCTTTTTACTGTCCTCTGCCCATGGACTCTAGCACCATTCCCTCCAAGGGAAAATGTAATGACAAACCACAAATTGTTCAGTTTCTGGGTTACTTTTCCTTGGCACTAAGAGGGTACATCTCTCTGGGGTTTCAATTTTATGTCAATAACAATACCTGTCATATATTAGGCAAACCACCCCCCAGGCCTGGGACCTACCAGTAAATGTCAGAGCTGCCATTTCTGGTTCTAGCCCTTTCCACAGCTCTGGGAGGGAGGTTGGGGTCAGGTTACAGGTGAGAAAGGGAGGCCCAGAGAAGTTAGGCGACTGTATCCCCAAGAGCTCAGCAGTGGGCCTGGGCCATGAACCCTGTCTGTTGACTCTGAAGCATGTTGCAAGATGGCAGAAAGCCCCCTGTCCCTGAGAACAAACCCCACTCACTTGGCAATGGGGTGAACTCCACGGCCGACGTGCTGGTGATCTTGCTGGAGTCCAGCTCCACCCGGTGGTATTCAAAGATCGTCCTTCGCCGAGACTCTGAAACAGAGGCAGAGCCTGTCCTCAGGAGCCTGTCACAGCCAGAGGGCTCAGTGCAGCCACTGAGGGAGGAAGTAAACCCACCAACCTGGGAGAGACAAGAGCCAGGAGCTGACCTGGAGAGGAGAGGCTCTGTTGTGTGCAGGTTAAACTACCACCACAGAGGCGGGGCTGCTGCTGGGGTGAGGAGACAGCCAGCCTCTGCTTCCACATGCCTCTGCCATCACAGGGCTGTTCCCTGAGCCATGATGTTTCCCTCACCCTATCTCCTTGTCGAGCTCACTCTTGCAGATCTGGCTCAGGACCTCTTTCCCTGAGTGGCACCTCTTGACCAGTTCCTTCCTGTCCGTACTCTGGCTAGGTGTCCTCCTCCCACTGTACTTACCAGGTTGTGTAGACCTTCTGGGCATTAGACTGTGAGCCTCAGGTCCCGAACCTGACCCACCGTGAGCGTTCTGCTACAGTCTCTTGCTGACCACTCTCTCCTCCTGGATGGAGGCTTGAGCAAGGTTCAGGGTCTGGATCCAGGTTTAAGTCCTACCTTGATCCCTGCAGAAACTACCCTCAGGACCTCAGAGTCAGACAACCCAAGTTCTGATTGGAGTTCTGCTCCTGACTTGCTAGCTAACCTTGGGCAAGTCAGTTGAGCCTCTGTTTCTGGTCTGTGAAGTAGAAAGACAGAGACACTTGCCACAAGACCTTTTGGAGGAAAAAAAAACTGGAATTGTAGATGAAAATATTTATCTTAAAATGGCAATCTTCTATATGCTGATATTTCTCATGACCACACCATGTCCATTCATGAACCAGGACTTGGAGTTGGTTTCCTTTAGCTCTGCAAGGCCGGCAGCCAGCTGCTGAGCTTCCCCACAAGAAGAAAGGGCACTGAGTGTGTGGTCTTTCCAACGCCCTTCCTCCTTCTGGAAACAATATTCCTTTTGGGGGAACAGTGCCCAGCACACTGAAGCTGCCGTCTTCCATGACCCTGCCTCACAGTGATTGGTTCAGGTCTGGGTGACAGATTTGAGATGAAACCAATCAGAGATCTTCCCTGAGACTTTTCAACTAACCAACCCATGAATGACAGTGTTTCCAGTCTCATGGCCACAGAATAAAGTTATTTTATAGAAAGGAACAGGAAGTACTAGTGTGGTTTCAAAACCTTCTCTGGCCCCCATTTTCCCAGTTGTTCAGCTCCTCGCTTAGTTCTTTGTTCTACTTTGATATTCCCCAGTGCACTCCCCTTTCTGTTTAAGCTACTTTGGATTGAGTTTTTAGTACTAGAAGCCCAGAGTCGGTAAGGAAATATTTCTCATTCAACTCTAGATGGTTTGGGGGAAAATTTCCCAAGGGAGCAGGAGAGCCACCATGCAAGGGAAGGCCTCTAGTGCCCTATCCCTCACCCCTCCTCCTGTGTGAAGGATTCAGGGGGCACCCACTGCTTAGCAGAATATCTCAGCTCTATGTCATCACTTACTTATCCTCAACCTTGGAATAGCTCCCTCCTGTTTATCCCAGGATTGAACCCTCTTTGGTCTGGGGCCAAAGTTCACTCCTTCCCCAGGACACCACACTGCTCTGCTGAAGGTACCAGTGCACACTCAGCCCCTGAAACATTCAAGCCTGTACAACGTCATTCTAAGCAATGAAAAGGAAACTGCTCTGGCTTTGGTGCTAGCAAAGGTCCCTGGAACTAAACAAAGGTCCCTCTGAATGCAGCCAGAAGGCCTGGGCTTGAAATGTTGGCACTGACCATTCCCACTTTTCTTTCCTACTTTCTTTCTTTTTTTAATATTTATTTTTTAGTTGTAGTTGGACACAATACCCCCATTTTATTTATTTATTTTTATGTGGTGCTGAGGATCGAACCCAGGGCCTCGCACATGCCAGACGAGCTACTACTGAGCTACTACTGAGCCACAACCCCAGGCCCCCATTCCCACTTTTCTAAGGGAATCCATCTGTTATCCATGAGTTGGTTACAGCTCTGGGCTGGGTAGGAAGGGCAAGGGAGTTGGGAGGACTGAGACTGGGAGGAAGAGAAGCCCTGGATCAGGAGGTAGTCACAAAGGAAGGGGGAAGTTGGGGTTACTTCAGAAACTATCTGTTTTTACTACTTGGGTGACCTTGGATGAGGGACGTAGGCTTTGTGAAGCCCATTCAGAAATGGGACTAATCTTCCTCTACATGGGGTTGTCCTGAAAATTAGGCTACTTATATAAATAAAGCACCCGGACCCCAAGAGCCACTTAATACGTGAACCCCTCTTTCCTCTCAGTCCTAACGTGTTGTGTGTGTGTGTGTATGTGTGTGTTACTGAAGATTAAGCCTCACGCATGCTTAAGTGCCCTACCATTAAGTTCTACCATTAAGCTATATCCCCAGACCTTATGAAATTTTATTTTGAAACAGGTTCTCACTAAATTGTTGAGGCTGGCCTTGAACTTGCAATCCTCCTGCTTTAGCCTCCTGGGTAGCTGGGATTATAAAGTGTACACCACCATGCGGCTCCCAACTCCTTTATTGTCTTTGTTTTTCATGTAGCTGAGTCTCCAGGGCACTTTCAGGCCCTCCTAGCCCCTCCAACTCCTCCCTAACCAAAGTTTAGTTTATAAACTTGAACATGGAGAGAAAGTATGCCTCACTTCTTCCCCCACCCTTTCTTCCTTGTCTCTCTCCCCGAATGGTTTTGTTTTTTTTTAAGAGAGAGTGAGAGAGGAGAGAGAGAGAGAGAGAGAGAGAGAGAGAGAGAGAGAGAGAGAATTTTTTAATATTTATTTTTTAGTTTTCGGCGGACACATCTTTGTTGGTATGTGGTGCTGAGGATGGAACCCGGGCCGCGCACATGCCAGGCGAGCGCGCTACCGCTTGAGCCACATCCCCAGCCCTCCCCGAATGGTTCTTGTCTGAGACTCCCTAGTGGGCCCTGCAGCCCCCTACCACTGTGGAGGTTGCTGTGGACAGACTGGAGATCCTCCACAGAGGTGCCTGACCATCATCTTGTCTAACTAGGACCAACTGGTCCCCCACCTTCACTCTCTCAGCCTCAAATGCCCAGTCCTGTGGGCCTCTCCATTTCCCTCTGCTGGCCCCGAGGCCCAGGCTGCTTCTCTTCCAGGGACTGCCACCTCTTCCCTGGTTTCCCTTCTTTCTTCCTATGACAGAGTAGAAGCTGTTTCTTGCTTTTTCCCTCCTAGAGAATAAGGCAATAAGAAAAGTGAGGAACATCACAGCCCAAGTGGTGAATTGGCTTGGGGGTGCTGGGGGTTGGGGTGAATCTCCCATGCCCCTCCCAGGGCTGCTCAGAGAGGACTGATCGCAGAGGCTCCCTGCCCCCACCCCCACCTACCAACCCTCCCCAGGAGGCAGGGGGAGGACCTTGGCCCCATCCTTCCTTCCCTGCCACAGAGAATGACTTCTCCAGCCCGAGGCACCCTCCCCCCCATGGACTCCTAAATTAGAGCCACATGATTTGAGATGAGATCCAAGCCTCCCCCTGCTTTTCTCTTCCCGCTTCCCTGCCCGGCAGACCCAGGAACACGTTGTTCCTCAGAAAAATGGCTAAAAGGAGTGGGTGGCACGGGGGTCCAGGGGGGCCTTGTAGGTGCCCACCAGGGGAGCCCCACCCAGGTATGGGCTCCATAGGAGAGGAGAAGGGCCCAGCTCTAGAGAATCTGACTCGTCAGGTTGAGAGTCAACAGAGAGGGCTGGGGATGTGGCTCAAGGGGTAATGCGCTCGCCTGGCATGCGCAGGGCGCTGGGTTCCATCCTCAGCACCACATATAAAAATAAAAATAAATAAAGATGTTGTGCCCACCGATAAATAAATAAATAAATAAATAATTGCAGAGAGTCAACAGAGAGCTAAGAAGTCAAGTGTCCCGCAATTCATTTCACAAATGGGGAAGCTGAGATTCAGACATTAATCCATGGACTGACACATTTTTGTACAATACTTTTCAATTTACCAAGCCTATCCACAGCCTTAAATGGGAAATATCTATGATAATTAAACGAGAAAGCTTGCACAAAAGCCCAGTACCACTGTGTACCATATTCATTTACTCCTTCAGCACACAGGTATGGGCACCTGTTCTGTCCTGGGAACCCTGCTAGGTCCTGAGCACTCAGTGACACACCAGACAGACCTGGCACTGCCCACCCTGGGGCTCCTATTAGGAAGTTACCAGGATCTGAATCATCTCATTTACCCTCATGACTTTCCAGGGTTCACAGACAAGATGTTACCAGTCTCCCCATTTTATAAGGAAGAAGGTGAGATCAAGGAAAGGACATTACTTGCCCAAGGCCACATAATTTTTTTTTTTTTTCAGAGACCAGACTTACAACTCAGGTATCCATGCCAAGGCAGCTTCAGAAGATCATCAAAGACATCTACAAATGAGTGTTCAACTGTTGCCTGGGGTCAGGTGAGGAAGGGCTGAGGAGTCCCCACTGTAGCTCTGGCCAATTTCCATGGTGTAAATACTTCCACCAGTGCTGATCTCCAGCTGCCCATTTGGAACTGCTAAACATGGTGTTGGGGAGAGAGGTGTCTAGAGAGTTCCTATTTGTGTTTCTAAGTCAGATAGAAACATTTACATATCTGTCTTTGAAAGTAAGAAATTAAGCCAACATCCAAAGGAATTGAATGATTGTGTGTTTATTTTCTTCCTAAATAACCCTCAGTCTCAGAGAAAAGGAGGCAAGCCTCAGAGACATCGTCAGCAACTTCCAGCTATCTACAGGGCTGCTGTGGTCCTAAGAGGAGTCAGACCCCCTCATGAGTTGAGGGGAGCAAAGTACACAGAGCCTGGACATGCATGTGCACCCCCAGGCACATCCACGCCCCCTCTATGGACACACATACAAACACACACACACACGCAGGCAGATACACACAGATTTTTTTCTAGTGCTAGTGATGAAACCTAGGGCTTTGTACATGCTAGACAAAGGGCTCTCCCATGGAGTCACAGCTCCAGCCCCACATAGGTTTA